ATAATAATATTCACTCAATAATAATTGTATTAAATATTTTACCCTTAGACCAAACACGAGTGTTATATAAGTTTTAAATGTTTAAATAACTATTAAAATAATAAACAAAATAATATCATTTAATGGGAACATAATAAGTTTATACATAAAACATAGTGTACCGACTTTATACATTAATTATACAGTATGTTTCAGAAAGATGTAACTATAATACTATTATTTTAGATTACAAATTATATTGTTCATAATGTATAATTGATAAAATACTAACATTATTTAAGTATATTATTATCATCAACCTTATACTCATAAACCGGCCTTGTCTATATTACTAACATTATGCGTTGTGAACCGAGATAGAGGGTGCGATTAAGTGACTGAGTGACCGATGCACGCACGCAATTTCTGTGCGCGCATGACAACGAACGCCTGTTACAATATTTATAATTATTGTAACACAATTGTGTTCATTGCAGCTTGTGATAATCATTAATCACTATTCTCTTATCAATTACAATAACATGTTCATTAAAGTGATAGCTACAAATTCTATAAGAAATCAAAAAATTTGAAATGGAACAATTGTCCACCCACAAATTTCTGACCACTTCATCTGTTGGAAACTTATTTTATTGTTATTTTTTTTTTTAATTATATTACTACAATATCTACTAATGTTTTATTATTTAACTGTGCAATTTTATTGGAGAATAGTTGTCATTGTATCTTTGTTTACAAAATGGAATGAGGCATTTGTAAACCATATTGGAAAATTATTAAAATAATATTATACCTATTATAGAATACAAATATCAATCGTTAAAAATTCAAAACCAGGAATAGTTGGAAATCAAATAAAAGCTGATGTCTAATAATCATACACTCATATTATATATAGATATTTTATGGTACGCACAATAATTTTTATATCGTGCGTCAATTATCATAACGCTGCCATTGCCCTCTATCACGGTTCAGATTTTAATTCATAGGGCCGGTCTGCGAATATAAGGTCTATGATTATTATACATAATAATAAATATACAAACCTTATTTTCAATAAAATCTATACAAATATATTAGTAATTAAATTTATTTTTGTTTAAATATTTTAATAATGATTACATTTTGACAAGATAATTTATTTTCAGCGAATTTCATGGTCCAACTCGAATTATTATTTATTAATAAATAAAACGACATTTTAATAAAATTGTACACGTATATGAGTAAGGTCTATTAAACCTTTAACCCTGCAACTTTCTTAAAAAGAAAAAAAATAAGTTATAACTATTATATATGCCATAAAAAAAAAAAAAATTCAGTTAAGATTATTATTCCTTTATTAGGTATATTTAATATTTAATAATCATAATTAAAAAAAAATAGTCATTAAATTGTTCTAGTTGAGAATGAATTAAATGAAAATCTCATGTGCTAAATCAAATAAAAATTGAAGAATAATTTCGATCTAGATTACCTTTGCAATATGTTTCCTATTGGATGCAAGATAAATTGTTTTGGAACTAATTTCTTGTTATATTGTCGGACTAAAATGTGTTGTGTTGTTATTGCTATTTTATTTTCACAGAAATCTATAAGAGTTTCAAGTTTTTGAAACGATCGTAGAACATACAATGAGTCAACAGTTTTACACCCGTGAGTTATTTTTGCTGAAAGATAAAGAAATCAAACGTCCGCAACAAAAAATAAATGCAGGAAAATCAAGTATAAATAAATTTTCTCTTCTTTTGGTATTTATTAAAAATATTCTACGATTATAAATTTAAACCAGAGAAAGATATACAGTCGAGTCGCGATAACTCAAAGTTGAAGGGGGATAAAAATTCATTTCGAGATATGTATTATTCGAGATATCTAACTAATTTATAGGGGAAGAATTTTCCAGGGGAATAAAACACAATTCGAGTTGTCAAGTTTTTCGAGTAACCGAGGTTCGAATTATCGCGACTCGACAGTATATAAATAAAATATTCCTTGAAAAATAATTTAATTAATTAAGAAATAGACATGATGTCTCAGAAGACTAACAGTTAAAAAAAAAATCGGTTATCTCTAGAGACATTTAGAATTCAGCTGTTCATGTAATATGTTTGTATATTATAAAATTAATATATTAGTTTATAATATATAAATTCTATAACATTTGAGGAACGTCGTAATGTTTTTTTTTTTTTTTTTTTTTTTTTTTTTGACTAAATTTTCATGGTAAAGATCATATCATACATATCATACATTCACTAGATTGAAAATCAACAAATTTCACAGTAATATGAATATAAAATTATAGTTTAGTATAGTACATTGCAGTACATTTTGTTTACTTAATATTTTATTCGTTTGACAAAGAATAAAAATATCTGATAAAACATTAAATATTTTAAGGATTTCTGTTTATAATTATTGCATTGGCAGGAAAACAGAAAATTATATTTTAAACTTATTACGTATCACGCAGTATTTTCGATAGTTGTATCATTTTTAGACTTAAGATCAATCACGATTGCCTACTACTACATCCATGATGAGGCGTTGTTGGAATGAGACAGAAAAACAAATATTTTCAAGATCATGACAATGTTTGTTGTCATTTCATGACGACGGATGTGGACTTAGGAATAAACTATTATATGCGAAAATGAATGCAAATATAAACAAATATAGAAATAACAAATACTAATACTACTAGGGTAGTAGTATTACATATAAGACGTATGTGGTCTTAATAGTTGTGATATTAAAGGTACCGTCAACACGATGCCAGTCGGTTAGTGTTACGTTTTTGTACCCAAAAGAACATATTCTGGAGAGAAATGAGAAAGAGTGAAAATTCACTATGTCCTCTTATCTTCAATCTAACAAATACAAACACAAAACTACATACTTTGAAATCAAAGAATACTAATACACAAATAATATTGTATTATAATAACTCTGTGTACAGAGTGAGCACATGAGAAAATCGAAAGAAAAACTATCCTATTTACATCAGCTATATTTAAATGTGTTTTATAACTTTATAAAACAAAAACGTTTACGTGTGTTAGTCTATGTAAGACCTAGAGAAAAATAAAGATCTCTAAAAGAATAAAGTACGACCATATTACCCTCTTTATTTTCAGTAGTCATCACCAGAAGCTGTGTATGTTGTTTGCAATAATAATTATGATTATACGCGGTATGACCATCTGCCATTTCTGTTCAAATCAATTATTCAAATGCTCATGGCTTATTAATTTACATGACTCACTGTCATTGTTTTTATTGTTATAACGATGATAATCGTCGGTTAAGAATAAAACAGATATAGACTATATACATTCGAACCTTTAAAAGTGACTTTGGGTACAATTTTACTAAAATACCTAAAATACAAAGTTTTCATTCATTTTCAATTTAATTAATCAAAAAGGTCAACAATTGAATACCCGAGGTTTCCATATTTACATTAATATATTGAATATATATATTTTAGAACATTGGTACAAATATATTGAAAAATTATTCGTCATATTTTAACTATTCTTTTGTTCTTAATACAAAAAATGTAATGTTTAATTTTATGTGAATATAAAAATAAAACGATATATTTTATATGCTTATATGTTATAATAATTATTGTACATAGTAATAATTTTATATAAAAATTAAAATATTGTTTCGTTAAAATGTAATTTTATTTTTAAAGTTTAATATGTTTCTCTAGTTTTAATTATATTTTGTAATAGTTACTTATGCACAGATAAGTATCTTAAGTATACAGTTAGACAATACATTTATAAAAACGCTTATACTTTATATTTTAAATTAAAAAGTATAAAAATATAATGTTAAAACTGTGTTATAAAATTATCATTTCATATTTTTGATTTCAATTATATTATCGAATATATAATTATAGCCATTAGCTTATATGGAAAAAAATGTAGACTTTTATCCATACTAACTTATATCAACTTGTATCATGTTACTCGAAATAATGGTAAGGTATAAATATGATTTTCAGTGGCCATTGGCTTAAATGTAAATAATAAATATAATACATCAGTTCTATAAGATAGAATAAAAAAAGAAAAATAGAAAAACTGAAAATGAAGTTGGACACCCAAAAAAAAATTTGGAATGTTATATTTTTCCACAGTTTTGATTTAATTTTAACGGAAACTGACAGTGCTTATGTGCCATTTGAAAATTCAATACAAACTCGTAGTAGTGTAAATATAGGTATATAAATATACAACAGAAATGGCTGTTGTGAATCGCCTTAGGATATCTGACATACATTTTTTTCTTCATCCCTTATAATAGAAAGACGGGCGGAGATGAAATAAAATTTGACATGGATAAATGATAGCAGAGTTCTTTCTCAACACAAACGTCAACTAGAATCAATCAGTTTTCCCAGGCAAAGGGAAGTTATGCCGGGAGAGTGGTGGACTACATTTCCAGGTGGCTTGAGGTTCATATTTTTCTCATTCCAGAATCTGCGGTATATTAATAAAAAAATATTCTGTTTTTTTCTTCATTGAATATATCCAACAAGCATTTAATAGGCTATTTTATATTAGAAACGTTATTGGAACTAATAATCTAAAAATCTTGACTCAATTTTTTATTCCGACCATCTTAGCCGGTTTAATTAATACCGTAAATAGTGCAAGCTTATAGTATATTTTTTTACAATTAGCATTTGTAATTTTCCAGATTTAGGTTCTTATTTCTATATTTCTATATCAACAGGTTCTTAATCCTATATTGCAACAAACGTTATCAAGTAATACCAACGTTGTCAATCAAAGGGAATAATAACATACACAATAATAATGCGAATACCATATGCGATTCGTTTTTATCCTAAAGCAGTTAAATAAAGTTGAAATTGTAAAATTATACAACTACAGATCTTAAAAAAAGTGGTAAATTGATAGAAATTAAAAAAAAAAAAAAATTTAAGTATTGAAAAATATTGATGTACTCACAGTCAGTTTTTAAAGTTGGTGGTTTTCTGGTCGCCCAATTCGTCCTTATGCTTCTACTACCCAGCCACTGACCGTTCATTGCAGCTATCGCACTTTCAGCTTCCTGTGGATATTGTATATAAACACGATTACAATGCAGTCGTATATCAAGAATGAATGATCCTAATCATCCCAAAACACAAACTATCGTGATAAAATTAATTACCATTTCTGACAAGTATTTTCCCGTTAGAGAACCAATACGATCCGACAATTAAGTAGTAGTTTCCTAATTGTAATTAATATATATTTATAGGCTCACTAGACAAAATGTTCTAACAATTTGTGATGTGAAAGACGATATTATTGAAGTTTATGAAGTACTAAGTAGTTTGAGTATAAGTACATATATTTTAACTTTTTTTTTAGCTCAAAAATGGAGTTCAACATTTGCAAATATAATTGTCTTCATAAAGGATGGTCAAATTGATAAATGTATATAAGTCAGTTTTTAACTTTGTTTTGCAACCAAGATCGAACATCGGCTTGTAATTTTTAATCAATAACTTTAATTAGTTTTTATTTTTAAAATTTAATTTAATAACATACTATAAGAACATACTTTTAGGCAGGGTTAAAACGAATAAAACGTTATAGTATAAAATAAAATCTTTTAAAAATTAAAATACACTTATAATTTCAACTTAAAATAAAAAGGGAAATTTAAATTATAAATAGAACATTTTAGTGCTATTAATCTATTATTAATAACCATTATTGTTATTTTATTGAGGACAGTTTTCATAGTAAATGAATAGTATTTGTGATATTAATGACACTTTATATTTTATATATAATTGGATTATACACAAATATTTTAAGTGTTTTTAGTTAATTTAAATATCTTAGTGTAAATGTAAATGTAAATTATTTAATAAAGAACAGAAGTATCAAATGGAATAGAAAAATATATATTTTTTTTTATAAGTTGGTATATATATTTTTAATTTTATTAAATTACCAACACTTAATTTTAACTAATAATTTACTCCATGCCTGCAGAAATATTTTATTATTTTCTATTTGTATTGGTACTTCTTTAAAATAATGAGAAAAGAAAATTTCAGACAAAAAGATTATTTTATAATTTATATAACACATAATTTTAACTACCAACCTAATATATTTATTAAGAGTCAATTTCAAAAAGAAAACATATTATACACGTTTCAGTCAATGTGTACGTTTTATTCGTGGAATATTATACGTATAACGTATAAAATATTTTATACGCGTATATTACCAACCCTGTTAAAGCACAGAAGTTACATTAAAAATAAGTTAAGTTTAAGTTTCATTATATTTCATGTAATCTGTGATATAATGTCTAACCAGTCAACTCGTATAATATGATAATGTTTGATCTTAGTCTTCAGTCGGTTAGTCAAATGAGTCATACATATAAAATTAATATAATTGTGCATTATATGTAATAATACGCTCCAAACAAATTCAATGATAACATAACTTATTGTATAAATATAATTATAGTAGAGATATTAATTTTTGTAAACTTTTTATACGATGTTAATACTGTTAATACCGCTGTAGTTACTGCGATGGTATACAGGTATATTCGTATACGTAATAGTAGGTCAACTGTATGTTGATTGGATCATAAACTTATAATTGGCTGGTATAATATTTAGGGTGATTTTTATTCTCTATAGCTTTCTATATATACCTAATCTCAATAAACGAACAGTCACAAAAAATTTGAAATAAAAATAAATTATGTTACCTGTCCCAACGTTGTAAATTGATTGCAATCATCGTTATGAATAAAATAACAGTAAGGCAGTGTTAAATATTCCTTATAGCTGATTTGGTTTTTTTTGTTTCAAGAACCTATTATTATGATTATTAAAATGAATTAGCAAGAAAAATAGGCATATACGAGAACAGTCAAGCAAGTAGAAATTATGTTTCTATACAATGAAGAAATGTACCAGTTCATCACTGGGAAAAGTAGGTGCACGATTTAACAAATATTTCGTTGGAATTAAGTTTAAATAACATTTTAGCCGGGTACGTAATGCAAAGTATTTTTTCTAATGAATTGTGTAACTATTTATTGAATTACAAATAAAGAGGAAAAAATGTAAAATAATTTTATTATAATGCTCATGTATATTAACTTAAGCGACGATTCTCATGAAGAGTATTTTGAGTAATAACATTAAGAAAATCCGTCGCCGACGTCGTTGTAGTCGCAAAAGCATATCGAGTTATCGAGTTGAAAACTTTTAAGTAACAGGTTAGCGAAATTACCTAGTTGTAAATATAGAGTGGACGAGTGCGAAGAAGACGATGAAGTGTTGTGTATCGTCGAAGTCGTGACAAAACAATATTCTCAAAAATATTTTGACTTTGCAAACAATCAACGATGCCGGGCAATGCAGAATTCTAATGTTTCCACATATATGTATGATTATATTTTTATACGTCATATATATATTGTGTAATACATTTATAAGGATAAGTATATAATACCTTTATGTGGAATAAGAGAGAACTTAATTTCAAAAATCTGTTTATTTTTCACAATAGATTAAATAACAGAAAATTAAATTGGCTACACGTGGATAGCGCTATAGTGAACACCAGATTTTAGGAAGAGAATATTTACCTTGAGCTTTTAAAATACCAGGAATTTATGGCATGCTAAAAATGGTGTTGTAAACTTTTTATATTCAAAAATATTATCTTGCCCATGTATATTACACATATGTACATCAGGGATGGTGGTCAATTTCAAATTTCCCTGTACTCAATATTTTACTTACACCCACATACATGTTTCATCATCAATATATTTTTCACCTTTTATCTTATAGAATTCTAGTCTATACGTTTTCCCCTGCACCATCGTCATCGTTTTTGCCGGTCTAAAAATCAGCTTCTTACTTCGCATAGTATACTATGTATCTATTAACACTAATACCGTCATCTTGTATCTATAGAATAAGCCTGACCCCGTTTAAGATACGATAAAACATTACCATGCGTTCACTCAATCGCGAAAACATTAGAAGTCAATTTGTAGCAATAGCGCACTCACGTCTTCTAGATTTTAAACTGAAATTCTTCTTTTATACACTTATTATGTTCGTTGTAAAATACAAAACTTTTGCTGTAAAACTGCAAGTATCTTTTAATTTCAACCGTGAATTGCAAACGTGATCACAGTATTCACTCGCTCAACTTCAAAAAAATTATTGAATCATTAGAAACCTATATATTGAGAAAATGATGCTCAGCTGTCATTTTTATTTATCATATACACGATAGTTTGATTTTATTCAGAATACATATTGTCTGGGTTAGTTTGAATGGCATTTCATAAAAGATGATTCGAAATTATAAACTTCATTCGAAGATATCAGTAATGTTTATTGTACTTAAACGGTAACACTTTGAATGTATTTATTATTAATATAATTAATTGGTCTACTTAAAACCAAATAAAATTCTTATGATAAACGAAAAAACTGAATGAACTAAATCGATGAAAATTGAAAATCTAATAAACGATTTAATTTTTAATATACGAAATTATTGTAAGATACAAGAAAAAAAATGTTAAAATGTAGATTAATAACAAATATCACAAACTACATGTTTCTAAAAATGTTCTTGTTAATTAAAAAAATCATAAAATAATCAACTAGCTTACATAACTACATACAATATATATATATATATACAATTCGTGATACACATTACTGGAAAGGCGATATCATCCAATCCGCAATGGCAGCGGTTTTGGCGTGTGACACCTATTTTACTTATTATCACTATTTGATTTACGGCAAAGCTGTCAATAATTCCGAGGTAGTAGTAGTGTAAATATGCACACTCGTACACGCATACCACACATGGATTCAATAATGAAGTCGCAGGAGGGTCGTAATTTGTGTCGACATCGAAACCAGGTCCAATTTCCTTCATACTTAACGATGGCAATGTGTCTTTGTTGAATGACACGTAAAATTGATACTCGAGTTTGATATTCGATTTAAATAAAATGCACAGCGGGAAAAGCCTATACTGAGAGGTTCTGTGACAAAATTGCTGTCCAGTTCTCTCGAGCGCATTTTTAACCATACACCTAAGGAGATTTTATATTGTTCTTAAAAAATAACTACTATATATTATAATATATTTAAACGCACCCTAAATGCGATGTGATTAAGTGAGTGAATCAGCGTATTTTAAGTTCATAGTAACTTTGATTTTAGTATTAGCCTAATGCCTAGTTGATGAAATAGACTTCGAACTATTGAACGTAAAAGAAACTTCACATTGAAAAACAATTAACACACTATTAAAATACTACAATGATAAGTAGTCCTACAAAATATAATTAAACAGTTAATCTCACAGTATATTTAAATTACTATTTTAGTGATGAGAAATATTAAAATTAAAATACCAAGTATTTAGTATTTAGAGCTTTCAAGTTTTATTAAATTTTGATTTTTACAAATATTTGGTAAGACAAACGTTTAAAACCGTAAGTTTCTTCTCATAAATAATAATATTTTTATAAATTCTGGAAATAAATAAAACGTACTAAAATATTTTTAAGCATAAAAAATGAGATATGTAATCTGACGGAAAAAAACAACGAAATACAATTTGACTCTTGAATTTCATCCTATATCCGAAAAACTTTGGTAATAATTAATCAGATAATTTAATTGTATATTTATGTAATCAAATATTTAAAATATTAAAACCGGTTGAAATTATAGTTTTATTTTCATAAAATAAATTTAACTTAATAAAATACAAAATCATATTACATAATGCTTCACTAAATTATTGGTAAATTATAAATTTAAAAATTCAGTAATTCAAAAATCTATAAAAAATATTTTATTTTTATTTTTATTTTTACAGAATCATTTTAGATAAAATAATAAATTTAGATTAGAAATTAAAAACCGCGAGTCATATACATATTATATTTATTATTATTTTTTTCAATAATGTTAATATAATATTATCAAATTAATGGAAATAAAAACTTTCATTCGACTACTTGTATCGTCTGAAAAAAATAAAAATATTAAAGGGCGTATTTATTTCTAGTAACTGTAAGTAATGGAATACAAAATACAAATAATGTAGTATTAAAAAACGATTGCTAATGTTAACTGGCCGAGTTAAACTGGGTTGTATTTAATTAGGTTTGAAAACCACAACCCAGCGGCTTCACGATAGGACTTAAGCTGGATAAACAAATTGTGACTATTATTGTGATTTCAGTAGAGGATGAAGTGAATTTTCGTAAAAATAATATTTTTTTCTCAAATGTGTATATAAACTTGAATTATATTTATTAATTTGCATCCATATACCATATAAAGAAATACGTTAATTTTTACAATCAAAACCTAGCATTAGTTATTTTCAAAACGATAACATTTTTCGTATACCTAACCTAATTTATCTGTTGTCTCTAAACATTTTCATTTGTAGATAAAAATAATAGGAAGTTATTCCTAAAGATTGAAATATGAGTAAAATACTAAAATTAAAAAATTAACTTAGTTACCATTAAATTGTTTTAATTTTGCCAAGCGTAGTCAAAAAACATATTAAACAATACTCTATTCAAATCCGGAAATAAAAGATTTTTTTGTATATTAATCTCATAAGATCTTTGATGTTAAATTTTATAGAATATTTGCTTATATTTTATTAATCAGAAAACTAAATATGAAAACTTCAGATTTTGCCGTACTATAAAAATATTTTTCTTAATTGTAAAAAATATAGTACCTATCTATTCTCACTAGTCACACAGTACAGTTCAAAGAAAAAAGTCCATTTTTTTCCATTCATATTTAAATTAAGTATTTTTAAATCAGATTTTCAGCTAAAATAAATCAAAGAAAAATGTTCTATTGAAAATTAAACAATTTTTGTTTTATTCAGTTAACAACACGTAAACTGTAGATAATACAAGGTCTAAGATCAAAACACTTTTTCTAGTATAAAATATTGAAAGTGAATCAAATAAAAATAATAATGCGTGCTTATTTCTCTAGTTTAGTTCGACCTTTTAAAAATATTTATATTGTGTTCCTGATAGGACAGAAGACCTTTTTGTTATATTTTATCGATGAGGTAAGTTACAAATCTAATTAAATTTTCAAAAACCATCAATATTGTATTATTATTCAATTTATGGAGTTTATTCATTCCGATTTTCAATGAATTTTATGTATAAAGTTGAAATTGAAATTTGTTTATACTTACAGCTTTCTTTAGAAATGACACGAAACCATAGCCTTTTGATTTTAACGTTTGAGGATCTCGCACTACCCGACAATCTCTGAAACATTATAAATTACATTTTATAAAAAAAATATCAAGGTATTATTAAAATTCAATTAATATAAACGGTTAATATAAATAACGTACGACTGTGCTATATTATCAAAAATGTAACACAAATTAATAGTATGTATCACATGAAAGAATTACGTTTTTAAAAAATTAATATAGACTAGAAAAAATAATAATACAGATAAATTATAATAATGCTTTATAGATACATATTAAATTTAAAGTATTCAATCAAATTTAACGTTTTAAAATTAAATATAGTTTTACTTTCTCAAAAATATGAATACAATAACATGCTTGTGTTAACATTACTTACGTATGTATGTATGTAAAATGGTACTTATAAATAAGAAAAAAACAAATTTGTAAATAAAATGGTTACTCTTCATTCAAATTATATAATGCAGTCGATACTAGTATATGTCATATTATAATGGAATTTGGCAAATATACATAACTACAAACGTGGCAATAGAACATTTTTTTTAAATAATTTTTCCACTTTATTTAAAAAAAAAAAAACTTTATCATTTAAATCGATACTATGCCACTATATACTGTAATCAAATGACGAGGGATCCCATTAAAATACGGTAAAATTAAATTATCGGGAACGCGTTGTAATGGGAATTCGATACGCCTTCGTCGATGTTGACGGTGGTTATCAATACGTGAAGAACTGCAGAGAGAATATAAAAGAGAGGAAAAAAGAAAGAGAGAAACAGAATGACGGGTGGCAGTTTGTCCTGCAAACGTCATAACGTGTAAGGGAAGAAGAGAATGATTTTTTTTCTTCTCTTTTCCTTCTTTTATCGTCGAGAAGTACCCACATATACACAGACACACATAGATATCATGGAAAGACCCAATACTCACAGCAATCAATACTAAATGTAGATCGGTAGAAAAGTCGTTCACCCTTGATAGTAGTTACAGTTATTTCTCTTGCTTTATATTGGAATAAAGAATTTAGACTGAATGCCGCATATATTAAAAATTAAATATTTTAATCTCCCACTACGTAGCATGTAAAATGTATTAATTAAATGGTATAGTATTCGATTCTTCTATTGCTATAGACATAATAATCGTTCAAGGGAATGTCGCACAGAGAACTACTGGCGAATGGGAAATATTCATTATTTCTTAATTATTATTTTATTAACTCAAAGTTGAAAGAACCGTAAAAATGTTTGAGTTATCCAAAACAAATTTAAAAATATGTATTTTTTTGAAACCGTACAATTTATTGTTATATATTTCGATGTATTTATTATAGTATGTAAAAAAAAACTCTTCGTATATGATGTATCATTTAAAAAAAGTATCTATAAATAAAAATTAGTTTAGAAAATTATTTAAAAGAAGTATTTTTGTTTAAATTTTGCATTTTATCTCAGTATTTGCAGTAAATCGTTCTATTTTATTAAACGTTTCGATAAGTTCATCACTCACCACTGATTTGTTATCGATAAATTTCCTCAATTCATTATAATGCATCTTTGTGTATATATATATACACATACATACATACATATATACATACATACATACATAAATACATATAATATACATGAGGGAAATATCAAAATAGAAAAATTGTATACTATAAAAATCGAAACGTTGAGTTATTGACGAAAATATTCGAGTTAAGCGAACGTTTTTCACATTGTTTAAATATAAAATTTTAGGGACTTGAGAAAAAATTGAAGGTACCTACGATTTCGAGTTAAAGACTTTCGAATTAACTGATGTGTAAGAATTTTTGGCTTCTTTTCGTTTGTATAATATGTATAAATTGCGCCTGAAATAAAAGTAAGTGATAATATCTAAAATATTTTTTAGTAAAAATTTAAATTTAAAATATATTTTAAATAACAGCTAATTGAAAATTATTTTAGTTTTTTAAAGTTTTAATGATGATGGTTATGATAATTTATATATAAATCGAAAAACAGAAAAAATAGTCCCTCTTGGAATTCCCAATACACTGTGTGTAATTTATTAAAACATGGTATTTCGAATTAATTTTTTCCTTCAACTTTAAAATCGTTGAAAAACTATTGCACATTCACTGTTTCACTTTCTCTTCAAACATACGAGTATTTACACACAATAATATACAATAGTACATGCACGCGCGCACACACACATATTAGTTAAATTATAAGTAAAATTATTTTGTTGTCAATACCTATGTGAATATAATTGAAGTTTGAAAATAACAATAAAATACCACAACAGTTAGTTATCTATTACTTAAAAACTTATTATGCAATGAGCTTTAATTGATTCAGTTAAAAAAAAAATGATATAAAATGGATTTTATATTGTTAACTATCTCATGTAAATACACACGCTCACACGCATACACAATAACACGTGGACTGTGACATAGTGCTCGACTTAGCTTTACGATGATATAAGAGGAATGCGTTTTTAGCAGAAGAAAACCAGCTGAATAAGTAATGCTCCGCTGGATTCACCACACGTATGACCAGAAGTATAAATAACTTTTATTGAACACACGCAAAGCGCTCACAGTCGAAAAAAAATGAACAAAATGATAATATATTTGTAACTCACACTATACTAATTTCATAATGTATGGAAAGAAAAAAATTAGTAGAAAGGAAAATATATTTAAAAAACGATAAATGATAAATAGTGCAAAATATATATGTAATAAATTTTTAACATAATAATTTAAATAATATTAGCATTTAAAGTTTTCATTCAAATTTCCAGAGCCTAAATATTATTTGAAAAATTCATGATGGTAATTACATATATATAACTAATTATAGAAGAGTAAATAATTAATTTAAGCATATTGCCTTTTATTTTAAATTTATTATCTGCAAATTTTATAGTTAAGTATAAAACAAATTATTAAATATGATATTTAAAATTCGTTGAGAAATTAAAACAAAATAAAATATTTAGTAAATAGATTATAGTTTTATCTAATATTAAAAGAACGAATTGCCTATAAATCTATTTAATCTATAAAACTTAAATGGCATGACATAAAATTAATTAATGAATATTAAATATGTTTATTTGTTTTTCGTTACTGGAGTTTATAGTAAAATAATAATATAACTGACTGTGTACGTCTACGAAAACCATAGGGTTGAACACAAGAAGAGGGAGAGAATAAATAACTGTACTCAGAAATTGGATAGTAAACCATAAACGCGAAGTATATAGATTAATGAAATTTGAAATAAAATAAATTACTGAAATGTATATTAACTATAGTAAATTTATGCTAAGATATAATGGAAGAAATTTAAAAGAAATATTTTTAATCAATATAAAAATAAAATACTAAACGTTTGATGTAATGAACAGTTTAATGAGAAAACGAATATAATTTTTTAGCAGTAATTGATTTTAAACCGGTGTTTTTCAAGAGGTTTGTAAATTTTAAAAATGATCATTTAACTAAAACGTTAACAACAATAATAATAGATGACAAAAATTGTAAAAAAAAAAAAAAATTATATAAATATAGACTATTAACAATAGAAAACAATTTATCATTTTTTTTAAAGGGTCAAAAACATAGTTTTGATTTTCAAACAATGTGAAATATTTTAACTGTTGTGTAAACCTTAAATTTAGTAATAAGTGATTGAAAATATTCAATTTACAGTTGATTTTTTTGCTGTCTAAAACGTTGCTGTATAGAAGAACTATTACTTTTAAAGAACGTCAAATACTAGCAACTACTAGTGCTACACGATATTAATTTAAAATGGCAAACGTTCTAAGACTGATAGTTTATTTAAATAAAAAGTATATTCATCGGGCAGGCAGTACATGAGGCTGACAAAATATAATAAAATACAATTTTTAATATTTTTAAAGTTTTACATTAGATTCTTAAACATACATATGCTTATCGAATTTACTGCATATGAAGTATACTGAGTAAACTCTAACATTAAAAAATGACTTCATAGTTTATTAAATAAAAATGTTCAATAAAATGTTTATTAAATTAAGAAAATGGATCTAAATATGTTGTAGAAAATAATGATTGTAATAATTGTTATTGTAGGTGTCAATCTGATTTCCTTGAGTTGCCACTTTTCGAATGTGCAATAGAATACCAAAGTATAACAACTATCGAAGTCAATCAATATTTACAGGTGTTTGTGGTATTTATTTCTAGTCAATTAGCTCATAAAATTATTAATAATTAATTCGATAAGCACAGATATAAGAACATAATTATTTTAAAATTAAATTTATTTTATTTTAAATTTAAAACATTTTTAAAAATTGTAAAATTATATATTATTATATTTTGTCGGCCTATCAACCCAATTCTAATATCACTATATCAAAATATGATTTATATTAAAACTGATTTATCAATGATACTTATGGAATTGTCGTGTTCGAGTCACTAGAATGCTGGATATAAATTGCACAGAATAATATGCTAATGAAAGCAAAATTACTTTTTCAATGGATTTTCTAATCATAGTTAAAAATATGACTGATTTTTGAATTAAGAAATTTCAATTAAAAAAAAGTAATTTTCTTTTAAAAAAATTGAATTTTTACCTTAAATTAAAACAATTTAGGTAATGAAATAAATAAACACATTGTATGTTTCATTTTATTAATTCTTCAATGATTTACACATTGTATCCAATGTTTACAAAAATGTTATATATTTTTTTCTGATTTATATAAAAAGTGTAAGACTACATAGTGAACAATGTATTAAGTACTATTTTTATAAATAATTATAAGGTATAATTATTTATAAATAAGTTATAATTTATAGCCCTTAATCATAAAATAATTCAGTCTATTAATATAAATATTATATACGGTATTGATAAACTGAGATTAAAATGAATTGATAATTATAAAAAAACAGGTTAGATATCGCAAAAGCTGAATAAAGAAAATATTGTTTTTAAATGAAATTGTTCATTAATCGGTATTATATATATATATATA